TCCCAAACATGCCCACATATGACAACATGTGTTGCTAGGGGATACATCTGGTTTATGAATGTACACTAACAGGCTGCATGAGTTGAATACTCCCCAGGGAGTTGGGTTGGTTAACACAATGCCAGAAAAAAAAGACATCCGTTGATCAAGGGAACGCCACAGGGCCTTGAACATGTACTAGTTGCGTGGATATGTGTGCTACATAAATATTTTATAATAATCGATCAACTTCCTGGACGCAACACTAGGCGTGACGTTCACAAAAGAGCGTGCTGTATGCACCCCGTGTGGTCCACCACAGTAGACAAGGGCGGATGCGTCAGATTGGTATTCGTCCATATCAACTGCATTGTGCGACCTATGTTCAATATGATTCATTTCTCCAAATGTGAAGTTACCTCTTCTCTTCAGTAATATATGAACAACACAGGACCATGCTGTTTGTATTTGATTGCAACACCGAGTAGTCGATCACATTCTCAAGAAGGAAAAGAAACAAAATGAAAAGTTTTGTAATCCTTTGAGGTTTAAACTGTACAAAATAAACTGATATTAAAAAGGTCCGTGTACTAACGCTATTTGTCTATTAGATGTACTGATGTATTATCAGGCGTTAAGCCCATGTACTAACGCCATTTGTCTGCACGATGATGTACTAATATATTATCAGGTGTTAAGTCAATGTACTAACGCTATTTGTCTACTAGATGTACTGATGTATTATCAAGTGTTAAGTCAATGTACTAACGCTATTTGTCTACTAGATGTACTAATGTAGTTTCAGGTGTTTATTCCATGTACTAACGCCATTTGTCTACTAGATGTACTGATGTATTATCAGGTGTTGAGTCCATGTACTAACGCCATTTGTCTACAAGATGTACTAATGTATTATCAGGTGTTAAGTCTATGTACTAACGCCATTTGTCTACTAGATGTACTGTTGTATTATCAGGTGTTAAGTCCATGGACTGACGCTATTTGTCTACTAGATGTACTAATGTATTTTCAGGTGTTAAGCCCGTGTACTAACGCCATTTGTCTACTAGATGTACAAATGTATTTTCAGGTGTTAAGCCCGTGTACTAACCCTATTTGTCTATTAGATGTACAAAAATATACTAGTGTATTATTAGGCGTTATGTGCATTTACTAACGCTATTTGTCTACTATTGGTGTACTAGAGATACAATACGATGATTAGTTGCACTATTGGTCGGATACGTCATGTCGAAATGCGTAGTACCTTGCAGTGATAATTCTTAACACACGCTCTCATAACGATTCAATAGACACCTAAGATTGAACAAGCAGACTTATGCAAATAGCCTCCTCCTGACGAGCAAAGGGACACGGATGTAAGCGATACGCCACTATTCCTTGTCAAACTGATCTCATCGCGTCAAACATGACATTACATGTCATAAACAACTTGTCTCGTAGGTTTTTTAAACTTTTCAAAATAAACGTAGTTGTTCTTTCAATGTGTACGGCGACACATAGACGGCAACACGTGATCCGGAATATTGAGTCTGTGTGTGACGGGTGTCTGAGGTTTGATAATACATTCCATTAACTACCAAGGCCAATTCAACTTCTTTATTCAGCATAAAGGCGAACGAGTAGTTTTATGACCGGGTTTCATTTATAACGATGCCAATAAATTATTTATGTATTTGTACCCCCGTAGAGTACATGTGATCTTTAACGGCTGGGGTACTTGGCACTGGTGACGTCAAGGATACAACGTTGTACCGTTTCAATTTTGCTGGGTCGTGATCTGTGTCATCGATAGCCCAGCCTTCTAACAATTAGCTGTGCCTTACTGTGTGCATTGGACGTGTCAGACGTAATGCTCGGGGTTCGAATCCCACGTTAATATACTCTTTAAAAAAAATATTCACATAGGACAAATTTGAATTTTAGGAAAATATTTGACACAAACCAATCCATGCTGAATCCAAGCATGTTGGGGAATGGTTGCCGACGACAAAACGTTTGAAAAAAGAAACGTTTAACAAAACGTAATGTTACGCTCACGTCTGTAGTGAATCGCTAAAACGCACCCTACATGAAATGCACGTGCATCATGAAATTGTGTATCACCCTGAGGTGAAGCATATGACTGTAGGCTTTAAAAAGACACATCAATGGTACTCACATGCATTGCTTTAAGCCACTCTAGACGACAAGAGAATGAAAAGACTGACAGACACAACGCCATCGGCTGTTTACAAGGACGGACATCGCAGCATGATGTGGCAAGGCACTACAGCGTGTCCAGGCAGACCATCTCAAACCTATGGACCCGATACAACAATGCTGGGAGTGTTAATGACAGACCCAGGTCAGGTCGACCTGGAGATACCACCACCGCCCAGGATGGTTGCATTCGGTTGAGACATTTTCGTTGAAACACCACGGCCGCATCATTCACAACAATCCAAATCCCTGGACTGGTCCGAATCTCCGACCAGACAGTGCGCAATTGGCTATGGAAAACCAGACTTTTTGCCAGAAGACCAGTTCAACGTCACGTCGTTCCCGACATCAACGTGATCTTTGGAGCATGACAATGCTCGACCTCACGCTGCACGTGTTTGACATGCCTTCTTCCAGCAAAACAATGTTCAGTTTTTACCTTGGCCTTCTCGATCACCGAATTTGTCCCCCATTCAACATCAATGGGATACTCTTGATCGCCGCTTCCACCAGCGTCATCCGCCACCTCTGACACTACAAGAACTGCACACAGCACTTCAGCAAGTGTATCAAAACATTCCTCAAGTCAGCATTCGGCATCTCCTTTCTTCTATGGGTCACCGCTTCCAAGCTGTTATCGATGCTCATGGTGGTCACACCAAATACTGACACTTTACTCTGACCAATTGGCTTTAATAACCCTCTGTGGTTTTACCGAACACTTTCTGGATAATGATGTTTTGGAACTTTTTGTCAAGTTTCTTTTTTGAAGAGTATATTCAAGGTACACCAGGACTTATTTTCGGGAATGTCACCAAGTCGTAACGTCTGCATCCCTGTCGTATGTCCTTTCATTGAGCTGATATGTTGACATATAGCTGAAACTTTGTCCAAACACACGTCTTCACACATTCAATTACATGTGTACATTAAATCCGTTGTGATTCCGTGACCCTCAGAATTGATCTTCAGCAACCCATCCTTATCGTAGGAGGCGACTAACAGATAAGAGTCGCTACTTGGTTGACACACGTCATCGTATCCCAATTGTGTAGATCGATGCTCACGATGTTGATCACTGTATTGTCTGATCCAGAGTAGATTATTTACAGACCGACGCTAAATAGCTGGAATGTTGATGAGTGCGGCGTTAAACAACAACCAAATCAAAACAAAACAAACCTTTCAATAAGCTAATATATACATAACCGTCATATAACAGTATCTTTGTTCAAACACACGTCTCAACACACTCAATTACATCTATACATTTAATCCCGCAGCTGTCATTCCGTGACCCTTCGTGACAATGTGTGACCCTTCGTGACAATGTGTGACCCAGCTGACTGTATCATGAAACAGGTCTGTGTAATAGTTCACCAAAGAACATCATGATTTCGAAATCAACTGACCGATTTGTTTTGACGTGATGACAATATCACAGTTTGCAATAAAACGTAAACTGACGTAAGAAAGAATGGACGCCCCTGGAAATTAATTTTGGAAAGTTTGTTGGCCCCAAAACAAAAACAAAACAAAAAACAAAACAAAAACAAAACAAAAACAAAAACAAACAAAATAAACCAAACAAACATGAACAAACCAACAAACAAAAAACAACAACAAAAAACAACAAAACAAAAATAGAAACATCAACAACCATGCATACAAACAAAAAACAAACAAACAAGAAATAAAAACAAACAAATAACAAATCCAATACATGTCATTTACATGATGCAGGGGTAAGCTTGCTTTTTGCTTTTTGAAGACCTATTCTACCCCGGATCTTCATGGGTCTCAAGCAATATAAAGGTGGGGGACACCACATATAGCCTTAACACATTGTACCGATTTGAAGAATCTTCGGTGTGACGAGCGAACGCTTTGCCCGCTAGGCTACCCCACCGTCCCTTTGAGTCAGGGAGTCGAATGGCGTATTTTGTGACGTCTCTGTAAATTCTCCCCACCGCTCCAAATATTCTTGGGATACACGATACGAGTATAATAAAACGACACCCTTTCCATATCCATAAGAAATCTCTGCTAAAAGCACTCACTAGATTGCAGGAATCTGAACTGCAAGTGCTTATGAATCATCAGCAGTTGCTCTCAAAGGTGACCCTATCCTGCCACACGGCGCAACCGTCACAAACACATGCAAAGTCTAGTCAATTGTTCACATGAAAAACTCGGGAACGTCTGGTACAAGTCAAAGAGGGGCATTGCATCGGTGATATTGTTTGTCACAGGTACGCAAATTTTCAAGAGTCCTCCTCATGTCTACCATTAAACGTTTTGAAAACTTTATTAAGGCCTTAAGTGCTGTAACCTTGATCGAACAACTTCTAAACAAAAGTCGTATGATGCTCTTTGAAATCGTAGTGAAAAGAGCTTGTTCCATTATACAATAAAAGGCTGGACCTAATGGGTTATTACACATGAGAGCCGACTCTTGAGAAGTAGATATTTTTTGTCAGTTTTCAACTCGCTTTGTCAGTAACCGACACCAAGAAAACAAACAAACACCGTGACTAACGCTGTTTTAGTACGAGTTACCTTGTCCCACAATTTTATAGAGATTTTGAGTGGGTTGTTTGATCTTCATCATGACGCTACCGAGGGTGACAGGTGCGTTTCAGTAGATTGATACCCGGATTTGGGAGGCGATACCATGGGGTACACGCCCATGAAGGGAGGGACTGACACTGAGTGGTCGTGATATATAACGTGACATTTTGATGCAACACCACACTTACCAAGAGACAGGTAGCAGGTGACTTCGTCAAACAAACTGCAACTTCGGGCACGACAGACTCTTCTCAGTAGGTAGGTGTTAACACATTCTACATTGTGTTGCATAAAAATTTATTTTTCTAAAATGATCTCAAGCTAGTGTAGTATAGTATGTCATAATATAGTTATACTGTCCTTCGATGACGAGTTTCAAGAAAGTATAACTATATTCGTTAACATCCAACTTCGTCAAAAAACTGCGGCTTCGGGGACAACAGACTCTTCTCAATAAGTAGGTGTTAACACATGTTGTATAGGGGACAAATCAGGATGTAATAAATGCTATCAGACATCTACAATGTAACAAATCCCCAGGCAATGATGGTATTCCCGCACAGTTTTTCAAAGTTTCTGAACATATAATAGTTCCCTATTTAGTATTACTGTTCAACAAGATACTCTCATCCGGCTCTTGGCCAAATTCCTGGTCAACTGGCATTATTATCCCACTACATAAGAAAGGTGGTAGATCTGACCTGAATAATTATAGGGGATCTCTCTTCTGAATGTAATGAGCAAAATGTTTGTTTCGATTCTAAACAAAAGATTGGAGTACTTTTTGCAACTTCGTGAGATAATGGGAGAATATCAGGGTGGATTTAAGACAGACCATTCGACTGTGGACAGTATCTTATTCTCCAGACAATCATTCAGAAGTATTTAACACATAAGAATGGGAAGATACTAGGCACATAAAGAAACTGTGCATACAAAAATTTAAAATCTAAATTTATCAAACCTGTGTAGACACATAAGGATTTAAACTCAGAGATTAGTGACATGTATCCAACATGCATGCACGTGCCACGTTCCGTGACGTCTGTGGGTTCGTCCTTTAGACGTGCAATACGTTGTTGCACGTGCATTCCGAGAAAGAGAAACAGAGCAAATGAATGCCACACAATACTGTCACTTTGGAAAGCTCAACTCCTGCCCTTGCGATCGTTCAAACAAAGATTAAACGGCTATTGAAACGCATAGCATGCCAAGGCTCACGTCTGCACAACGTCATGAGGCCATTGGGATGGTCATCCCGGGATCAGACCACGACGTCCCGCGATACGGCCTATCCTGACACAACGTCATCGACAAGCTCGCCGAATGTGGTGCCGAAATCATGTCCGCAGACCCTTGTTTTGGTGGAGAAATGTTGTTTTTACAGATGATTCCAGGTTTAACATTTCCCATAGTGATGGACGTCAACGTGCCTATAGACGCGTGGGAGAACGTTATGCACAGGCCTGTGTTTTGGATAGGAATCGCTTTGGTGGTGGTTCCGTGATGATTTGGGGTGGAATAACAGCACGCCAAAGAACTCCTTTGGTGATTGTTCAGGGCAACTTAACTGGTGTGGGCTACAGGGATCAGATTCTTCGACCTGTGGCTATTCCTTTTCTGCAATGTCATGGCCCTGGGTTAACATTCCAACAGGACAATGCCCGCCCTCATACGGCAAGGGTTGCTATGGATTTCTTGCAACACCACAACGTTGACTTTCTGTCCTGGCCCGCAAATTCATCGGATCTCTCCCCGATAGAGCATGTTTGGGACGAGATGGATCTACGTCTACGCCGTCTTCCTCATCCGCCAGATAACGTCCTTGACCTTGCAACAGAACTTGAGAGAATCTTGCGTGACATCCAACAAGCCTTCCTTGCACGTTTGATAGGCTCTATGCGTCGTCGATGCGCTGCTGTTCTCAATGCCGATGGTGGACATACCCGTTATTGAGCTGTGACATGGTCGTTTGACCCCTGTCCCGCTTGTGGACTCGTGACTGTGATTGACTTTTCAATTGGAATTCTCCCGACTTGTTATGGTCTCATGATCCCTCCATTAAAATTTACATGTACCTTTGACATTGTTATCGTACTTATCAACTGGGATGATATTTTGACAATGCACAGTTTCTTTATGTGGCTAGTATATATTGCATTCATAGATTTTCGCAAGGCCTTTGACATGGTGAATAGGTTAAATTGCTGTATGTTCTTTTGCAAAATGGGATCCATGGAAAAATTTTCAAGTTGATTAAAAATATGTATACTAATGTCAAAGCCACTGTAACCTATGAGTATGTTAAGAAATTAACTGAATATTTTGATAGCGCCTGTGGGGTTCGGCAAGGCTGTGCCCTTAGTCCGGTATTATTTTCTTTATATATTAATGAGCTTGTATTGACCTTAGGAAATAAGTTTGATGATGGTATATTTATATCCGAAAATATGTTGAATATTATTGCTCTGTTATTTGCAGATGATTTGGTTTTGATAGCTGATACTGTTGTTAGATTACAGCGCCGCCTTGACGCCCTACATATGTATTCCCATAAATGGGGCATGGATATTCATACTGATAAGAGTAAAATTATTGTTTTTAAAATGGGTGGACCCTTGTCCAAACACGAAAAATGGTTCTATAATGGCATTCGAATGGAAACTGTCAATATTTATAAATATCTAGGACTTATGATAACTCCCAAATTGATTTGGACTAGGGCATGTAAATCATTATCTGATCAAGCTAATAAGGCACTGTGACCGATCAAGTCATTTATAAGACGATATGATATGTCACTCTCAGAAGGATTTTATATTTTTGATAAAAAGATTGTACCAATTCTAACATATTGTGCTGAGATATGGGGTTTTAAAAAGACAGAAAGGATTGAAATTGTCCATCGAAAATTTTGCAAACTTTTACTTCAGATTAGTTACAGATCATCTAATGCTGTTGCATATGGGGAATGTGGGAGGGCACCCTTAAGCAATGTTTATTATGTCGAATGTATTAAATACTGGCTAAGATTATTAAAAATGCATCAAAGTAGATATCCATATCAATGTTATCAATTTGTATTATCTGTTGAATTCAGGAAACGTCCCACATGGGCTCGGCATGTCAGTGATTTGTTATTTTATCTTGGCTTTGGTACTGCTTGGATTTCACAAGATGTCGGTGATACAAAAATGTTTCTATATATGTTTACTTAAAGAATTAACAACTGCTCTATGCAAGAGTGGCATTTGTCCCTAGATGTTCCTTCGCTGTCTTTCTATAAGTCCCATAAATCTCTGTTGACCTGTGAAAAATATTTATCATTGAACATAAGTAATAAGTGCAAGCGTCTGTTCACATTATTTCGATCAGGGTGTAATGCACTAGGTATCAAATATATTAGAAGAGGTACTGCCTCCTGCAATGATGATATTGTGTTATGTAAACACTGTAAAAGTATTGAGGATGAAATCCATATTGTCTATAGTTGTAAACGCTATGAGGATATGCGTCGGCGTTACATTCCGAAAACGGTCCATGGATATTATTATTCACTCCGCAGCATATGTACATCATCCGACAATAACATCATAAATAATTTTGTCAAGTTCATAGAACATGTTTATTCTGCTCCTGTTAGCGTTGTTGTATGAAAATGGTAACCAAAATCACTATTGTACCACCTTGTACGATGGGTCGTATGGCCTTTATACAAAATAAACCCTTCTTCTTCTTCTTAAATGCATTTTATATTGTGTTATGGTATAGTAATTTGATATTTTAAAATGATCTGAAGCTAGTGTAGTATATTTTGTCATAATATAGTTGTTTTACTGTCCTTCAAAGACAGGTTTCAAGAAAGTATAACTGTATTCGTTGACAGCCAACTTCGTCGAATAACTACAACTGCGGGCACTACAGACTCTTCTCAATAGGACGGTAGGTGTTACCACAAACTTGTGTATCTAGATTGTGTAACTTTCTCACCTACTCCAATGTTTCAGTATATTGGGCCTGTAAATCTCGCTAGGCGCTACTTCCGATACTAAGCTGGTTCCTGGCTCCCTTTGCGCGCGCGAACTTGCGATATGCGGGACGGGGCCCAGCTTACTTCCGATACCAGATTTCCGGTGACAAGCGTATATTGGAGAACTAGTTCTGGTTCCAAATTGCGCGACCACCAAATACTCTACTAGACCGGACCAAGTGTACAACTATGCCTGGCTGTCACAGCTGTTGACAGTCGTAATCCTTGACTAATTTGGGGATGGTTAGATCGGGAATTTGTTATTCCTGCAAGGATTATCGGTTCCTTATTGTCAACTGACAATCATGCGACCATTTGAAAAGGTATGAAACGTCGTTTGTCACCAGAAGTACTAAGGTTTCGCGAAGTGCCGTAACCTACTTTCGGGCCCTATACAAGCATTAATAATGGTCGCCAGTATGTTGGCTTAATTGTGGTTGATGGCGATCGATAGCCCAATTCTATACTGTGTTGAATAATAATTTAGCATTTTAAAACGTATCAAATATTTTTTTGTCATATTATAGTTGTTATTCTGTCCTTCGACGACAGATTTCTATAAAGAAGAACTGTGACTTTCTGTCGTCATGACTTTCTGTCGTCAGGACATGGCTGAAATGTTGCCAATGTGACGGAAAAACTCAGTCACTCAGCCGAACAGGAGTCTCATACAGAAATACATACAATTTGCATATGGCACAGATTTATAACGTGCGGCTTCTTGAAAATCCCGAGTTGTTCTATCAATTTCTAATAACTGTAGAGTCACTGGCTTGTGTTTGACTGTTTGAAGATTGCTGGTAAATTGTTTTCAGCCCACATTCGACAAGATTGGGGTGGTCTTACTGCACTGATCCTCAAAGGTTTATGTACACTTGTACGATATGGACTGTTTTCGTCTCACATTCATCAGACACACTATGAATTTAGAGAAACATCACTGGATACGTCATTCGACTCACGGACGCAAACACGTTTTGTTTTCAGTCTCATCATGAATGTGGACAGAGTGAACTGGTTCGCGGTGATTGTCCTCGCTCTCGGTGTTCACGCAGTGTCTGGCCAGAGTAAGACTGAAATATACATTCATTACATCATCTCATCAATTTCAATTTAATAATTTGCACGGTGTTGTGTGGTCCAGACTTGATTACAAACATAATACCGTCATAAAAGGAGGTTTACTTTACGTGGCGTTAAGCCAGCTAAGAAATATTGCAGAAGTCGATTTTCGAATCAGGTGCTTTTCAAATTCATTTATCTGGGTCGCATTGCCTGCAACTTGTGATTGTGTATTAAAATCCGAAAACTTTGGAGGCTTGGGCTCAGTAAAAGTCCAAACAAGCTCTTATGTTTGGTCATTTGTCCCTTGTTGATGCGTTTATTCATCTGGAAGCTTCATGTTACCATATGATTTTACCAAATTAGAGTATTCGAAGGCCTAACGGGAAAAGAATAAACAGTGTCGATTTGGCCACTTAAAACTTATAAAACGTTTAAAATGAAAATTGAACTAATGTTTGGAAACCCTTTTGAACACATACTTCTGTTTCAGACTGCGCGCACCTGTTGGATGTCGTAGCCGTTGTAGATGGCTCTGACAGCATCTTAGATGACGAATTTATCCTTCTGAAGGATTCCCTTATTCAGTTGACAAACTGGCTGAACCTTGGAGAGGAAGGTCAAATGTTTGGTGCCGTGGTGTACAGTTCGTCTGTATCTAACGTAGCACACCTCAGCACCAACCGGTCCCAGCTGCAGACCCAGATAAACCAGTTTGAACACCCCCAGGAAGGGACAAACACGCACCTTGGAATCGCCAAAATGACCGAGATTATGAGGAATGAGAGTCGTCCTGGCGTTCCCAAAGTAGGCATCGTCATCACCGACGGACGGTCACGTTATCCCGAGAGAACTGCTCAGGAAGCTACAGCTGCTAAGGCGATTGGCATTGAGATGTTTGCAATTGGAATCGGTTCAAGTATCAGAATATCAGAACTGAGAGACATTGCCTCATCTAACGCCAATGTCAAGAATATCAGCTCTTTTAATGAACTCAACAATATTACCCTCAGTCTGGTACAGAAGGTCTGCAAAGGTAGAAACAAACATAATGGAGATAATAAAACATAAGGGAAATAAAACATAATGGAGGAATGAAACATAAGAGAGAGAATAAAACATAAGGGAGGAATAAAACATAAGGGAGAGAATAAACATAAGGGAGGAATGAAACATAAGGGAAATAAATAAAACGTAAGGGAGGAATGAAACATAAGAGAGATAATAAAACGTAAGGGAGGAATGAAACATAAGGGAGGAATAAAACATAAGGGAGGAATGAAACATAAGAGAGAGAATAAAACATTAGGGAGGGAATAAAACATAAGGGAAATGAATAAAACGTAAGGGAGAAATGAAACATAAGGGAAGGAATAAAACATAAGGGAGGAATGAAACATAAAAGAGAATAAAACGTAAGGGAGGGAATAAAACATAAGGGAAATAAATAAAACGTAAGGGATAAATGAAACATAAGAGAGAGAATAAAACGTAAGGGAGGAATGAAACATAAGAGAGAGAATACAACGTAAGGGAGGGAATAAAACATAAGGGAAATATATAAAACGTAAGAGGAATGAAACATAAGAGAGAGAATAAAACATTAGGGAGGGAATAAAACATAAGGGAAATAAATAAAACATAAGGGAGGAATGAAACATAAGAGATAGAATAAAACATAAGGGAAATAAATATAACATAAGGGAGAATGAAACATAAGAGAGAATAAAACATAAGGGAGGGAATCAAACATAAGGGATGAATAAAACATAAGCGAGAGAATAAAACATACGGGAGGAATAAAACATAAGGGAAATAAATAAAACGTAAGGGAGGAATGAAACATAAGAGAGAGAATAAAGCGTAAGGGAGGAATGAAACATAAGAGAGAATAAAAAATAAGGGAGGGAATAAAACATAAGGGAAATAAATAAAACGTAAGGGAGGAATGAAACATAAGAGAGAGAATAAAACATAAGGGAGGGAAAAACATAAGGGAGAGAATAAAACATAAGGGAGGAATGGAACATAAGGGAGGGAATAAAACGTAAGGGAGGAATGAAACATAAGAGAGAGAATAAAACATAAGGGAGAGAATAAAACATAAGGGAGGGAATAAAACATAAGGGAGGAATGAAACATAAGAGATAGAATAAAAACAAAAGGGAAATAAATAAAACGTAAGAGAGGAATGAAACATAAGGGAGAGAATAAAACATAAGGGAGGGAATAAAACATAAGGGAAATAAATAAAACATAAGGGAGGAATGAAACATAAGAGATAGAATAAAACATAAGGGAAATAAATAAAACATAAGGGAGAATGAAACATAAGAGAGAATAAAACATAAGGGAAATAAATGAAATGTAAGGGAGGAATGAAACATGAGAGAGAGAAAAAAACATAATGGAGGGAATACAATGTAAAGTAGATATATGTAAATGTATTTATTAAGTGTATATATCTACTCCGTCATCATCTGATGAAATTCTCTCCCGACCACTTCTAAATGTCGTTCAAGTTTTTAAAAAAACATATTGATTATTTACATGCCGCTGTCATGTTGCCTGGAACCCGTGAAGATCTGGGTTAGAATTGGTCTTGAACAACCCATGCTGTCGTGAGGCGCGATTTACTGGATCGGTAGTTTAGACACATAAATAAAAGAAATAAAACAAAAGGGAGTGAATAGAACGAAGGGGAGATAATAAAACACTAGGGACATTATGAAAAATGGAAGTGGGAATAAAACATAAGGGAGGTAATAAAACATAGGGGAGAGAATAAAACATAAGAGGATACTGTCCATGTTTCAAGTGAACAGTATTACATTGTTTTGTATATATTTTCAATAAACGTAATGCAAAATGTTCCAATATCTATGTTACGGTCATGAGACATGGCAATTGTCTGCCCTCTCGAGAAGATGAAACACGATGTCTAAAAAATGTCCTTATAGCCACACATCTTCAGTTAGAACTGGTAATCTCACGGTACTAAAGTTGACACTTCTTTATAAATTCTCAAATAGGTGTCGCTCTATAAGTAAGCAAGTTATCGTAGCAATTAACTTGAAAATCGAAGCCAAACATTCATCAAACATTTTGTATATCTAAATTAAACCAAAGATGATGAACTTTTGTGTCAATCTAAATTTAGGTTCGCCTTATTTCAACCCTTAATCTTTCGCCTGCCTTTACATATGTCATATCTTGTATATCGGTTATTAGAAATAATACTTTACGTACTGATTTTGAAATATCCTTCCCTCTATCAATTATGAGAGTCAGCCTTCAGGACATTTCTGTATTTCATCGATTCACTCATATAAATGTCACCAGTTTCAGCCAAGAATCGAGATTGATATTCTTTGGCGTTGAGGTTTTGTGTTGAACCATGTCAATCTGATATTGAGCTTACTCTTAAATTAGAAATGTACATTTGCCTTTTTCAAATTTAAAAAAAGAAGCTAGTGAAAAAAACGAAAAGTATAATTTTTTTCAGAAAAGAGCTATGGGAATTGATAGAGACCATGGCTGAAACTAAATTAAACCTTTAACTTTTGTACTCTTTGGGATATAAACATATAGTGATCAATCTGGACTAGTGGATTAAAATGTCAAACATCTTTTTCTAAATGTATATACGGATTTGAACATATTTGTGTTTATGCTTCCTTGATATCTGTATCATCTGTTCTTATGGCAACAGTTGACGGAAACTGGACCGAGTGGACGGACACTACCGGTGTGTGTTCTGTATCCTGTGGAGGAGGCTCTAGAACCATCAACAGAACCAGGACCTGCACCAACCCAGCACCCAGCAACGGCGGAAGGGACTGTGTAGGATCACCTTCAGATCGATACACAGAGGTTTGCAACACCAATGGCTGCCCAGGTTTGTCATAGTCGTATATCAAAAACATTTGCTGTTGGCAGTATAAAACTTGGAAAGTTAATACTGAAAAATAAAAAGCCCCAAAGATATCATCCATAGATGTAAAAACGTAGAAAATGTGTTTGTTAGAGATACATACACATTATATACAGGTACAAATAATTACATGCACATATACATTCTGACTTAGCTGTTCTTTTTACACAAAGTTGACGGAAACTGGACTGAATGGACGGTTACTGAGGGAGTGTGTTCAGCACCTTGTGGAGGAGGCTCCAGAACCATCTCCAGGAGCAGGACCTGCACCAACCCTTCTCCTAGCAACGGTGGAGAAACCTGTGTAGGATCACGTACAGATCGATACACAGAGATCTGCAACACCAATCGATGTCCAGGTACGTTTAGCCATATGCTAAAGTGTTAACGCCGTAGATGCTAGTCTTTGAGAAACAATATTCCAGGTACACTAGCATATGTCTATATGACAGACAATATGCACTTGTAGTACGTGTAAAATAACACACCACAAAATAATACAAATCGCTACAAAGGTATTACAGAAACAGTTCAAAAGAGAAATCTCAGTACAAATTCAGAGGCAATATGATACCCCCAAAAAGAAATGATTTTATAAGATGGTAATATTCACCTCATTGCAACAATGGTGAAGTTTCGAAAATAGGCCCAGGCTGAGTGTCAAGGGTCAGTAAAATCTCCACACAATTGTGATCTTGTAACTTGAGATATAATGTGAGATGATAGGCAAGGGTTGGCTCTCCTTATACCCCAAAGAAAGAAGACTTCAGAACATTCTCCAACTGCCTGAGTCACTACAAAGGAGAGGCCCATAGGGCTGTTGTGCGTGGAATACCTTCCAGAACTCTGTCTCAGTATACACAAGTCTAAATATCACACCGCCGTCCACTATTGTACAATTTCATAGTCTCTGCCACTCAAAAATATGTCCCAAACTTCATTATATTTTACACGAAACGAAGTAATGAACATAAATATGCATCTTTGTTTGACAGTTTCAGCTGAATTCATCATGGTGTTCCTCAACAGTTAATACAAGATTACACAAGTTTGATCATGTCTAGTTCGCTTATCATCGATTATTTTTAGTTGTTGGGGGATGGTCAAACTGGATCATTACCACAAGCGACTGTTCAGCATCTTGTGGAGGTGGATATAGACGTGTCACAAGTACTAGAACCTGCACCAGTCCTGCTCCAAGAGACGGCGGTGCTGACTGTGTAGGCTCCTCCACAGACACATACGCAGAAACCTGCAACACAGAAGGATGCAATGGTAAAATCTTAGTCTATTCCCACCTTGGAGGCATAGACATACATGCATAGACTAAAATGTCACTTATTTCAGATTTTTACAAGACTCGTTCTGTTATGGAGGCAAAATTGTTTGTGAATTACAGGTTAACGTGATACCATCACTTTGCGGCCACGAGTTGGGTGAGGGGGTTTCGATCAGTACCTGGTGCACTGTCGTTCATCCCAACAGAAGTAAAAACATTATTTGTATTGTTTTAGATCCATGCAGTGGTTGCCGGTATGTCAACGGTATTGGGTACATCCCTGACCCCAGCGACTGCTCCCGGTTCATTCAGTGCCAAGAACCCAGACCCGGCAATACTGCTATTTTCCATAGAATGCAATGTAGTCCTGGACTGTACTGGAACCAACAGCATCTGGTGTGTGATTGGCCAGCCAACGTCATCTGCACAGTGGAAGCTGAAGGTAGGGGGCTGCTCTCTACCCTCATAGTATAACAGTGAGTGAGTGAGTGAGTTTGGTTTTACGCCGCTTTCAGCAATATTCCAGCAATATCACGGTTTGGGACACCAGAAATGGGCTTCACACATTCTACCCATGTGGGAAATCGAACCCGTGTCTTCGGCGTGACAAGCGAACTTGTAACCACTAGGTTACCCCACCGCCCCATAGTATAACAAGGTACGCCGACTCAATATGTTTCTTCAAGTACCTCAGTGTCTGTTAGGATGATACGTACCAAATACAAGAATATTAGTAATATAATATATATCATTATGATTTCTTATGAGTTGTTCATTCGACATTACCATGGGTTAAAGTTTAGGACCTGGGAAGTTGGTAACTGTAAAGTACAGTAATCGTACTTTAGTTCTACCGGATGATGGGGCCAGAACAAGCCCTGAAACGTTGTACCAAACAATAAAATGAAGGTGAAACCCAGAAAAGTCTCTATGTTCATCAAATAGCATCTTCTAAAATGCCAACCAAACACCGTCACAAACAGCAAGTCAATTGTTCACTTGACACAACACAGGGGTATATGGTTCAAAGTAAGGAATTGCGTTGGCCATAATATTGGACATGTACAAAGGCTTTTTGTTTCGCAAACCAAAGAAGTATTTCTTTCCTTCACAGAGGAAGCATTTCTTCCATCGACTGCAGCACCATCAACAGCTGCTCCGCTGACATCCCTTCCCTCGTCGTTGTGCGACGGCTCCAAGAAGGCAAAGCCAGGAAATACAGCTCAGTATCAGGAACTGATACATGGAAACTGGATCACCAGATTCTGTGCTCCAGGAACTGTGTACTCTACGACCAGTTGTAGCTGCATCACCGGTCAGAATGCCGCGTCCCCAGGTATGTCTGCATCGCTTCTCATTGGGGTCATTTGCTACTTTCCTACACATAGACAAACATGGTGCTGCAAGTCTTACAGTAAATACATAATTTACTTAAAGGCACATTTTCCCACATTTTCGACAAAACTTTGGCCTATATTATATATATTGGGATATATGCACTCAACTTAGCTTCATGTTGATGCAATGAAAGACTTATTATCCCTTACGACTTGCCTGAAATCGATAATTGAAACCTCGAGGCTGACAGCTTCCAAACAAAAAATACTTGCCATGGAATGTAAACAATTGCTCCTCACATCGAAAACTGTCGCACGCGTTGTTGTCGATGTTGCAGATCTGGTTTCAGTCACAAGTTATGCGTAGGATATTCGTGATAAGCGCTCCAAGGGACATAACTCTGTGTGGGGTTCGCTTGAAATAATGTTCAGCCGATACAGGGAACGAGATTCGATTTAATGCAACGTTTTGTTAATTCATTCGAACTTAAAAATTTAATATTGTAATATAAATACGTATTTTTTAAAATAAATTATACGGAAGCTTCCCTGAGGGCTGATAGTTAGTATTATTGAGAGAAATACATAGTTATTTTTGTGGTGTGACATTATGCCTTTAACGTGATATCCTCACAACTGTAATTATATTAACGAAAGATGATACACGATGATCAAGTTATGGAAGTTTTGTCTGATGTGGATGCAAAACAAAACGAAATGAATTTCATTTTAGTTTGCCAGGCGGAGGTTTACCTTCCTTTCAACAGTGACGTGAACGACCATTCGACTAACCACCACTATGTACAAAACACTGGCGTTGTAACTACCGACAGTGGCCGCGGCGTCTTCAGCAACAACACCCAACTCCGGATCCTCCGGTTCTCCAACATGCATTTCGGGAAGACTCTGATCATCTCATTTTCGTTCAAACGCACTCAGGCTACAAGCAGAGCTCAGGCTATCGTCACCAACGATGACTGCGGGCATGGCGGCAGCATCTACATCACCACTCAGCGGTCAACCGTGCAGTTTCGTGTTGTCAATAGCAACAACGTTACGCATACTTTAAATGTATCGTACATAGTGAGTATTAAAAACGTTTATCATACACTCCATCATATCGTGTTCATGAAGGAATGATACCTGCACCCTGCCCTAATGTTGTGAATATTTGGCCAAGGTCCATAGCCTGGCATCCTGCGCATTTGTTTGTGGTCGTTGCTAGCGTGTCTTGGGATTTGTCAAGGGTCACCTGTGAAACACACTTCTAGTTTCCTGGCCTTACTGCAACATTGGTGCATGTCCAATGTCACCTGAGAAGCTGGAATGTAGATGAGTGGCTACTCGTGCCATCACATGCCTATATATCTCATTGAAAGTCGTTAGTCACTGTGAACCCCGTAAACAAAATGGACCATCGATATAGCCAATGGGTAGTTACGAATTGATATTATCCGTTTCGAATTGTGCTTCATACTCAAGCCGTCGTCTTGGTAGCTTGGTGTTTTTCTTGTCTCTGTCACCCTTGCCCTTATCCTATCCTTTGTGGGGGTACGTTTCAGGCCACCACGTCCTTGAATGAGGTGAAGCTGATCGTCAAGGATGGACTGATGAAGGTTGAAGTCAATAACCGCAGATTACAGAGGACATTTGATGGTACGAACATTTGGAGTGGATGGTCCTTCAGAATAATCCCTTTATCAAAATAACCTCTAACATAGTATGAAGCACATCGTTGAACCTCTTGCTACTAACATGTGCTCGGGATGTAAACATGGGACCCCTGATCACCATTGTTAACTGCTGCGGTGTGTACAATATGTTTATTGATATTGGGATTCCTGACAATTGGACATTGTGCAGTATCCTCGGTGTATATTTCCGAGAAATATACAACATAATAGGCGCTCACATGTGAAAAGATACTCATTTGAAGCATTACTTTTGTTTTGTACGAAACCAAACATCCGAATGGGGTGATTGTTTCTGTGAAGTGCCCATTCTTAATCTAACCGTTGTCAGTTAGGTCTAGGATCAACAGGAACCGTCTATCTGATTGTTCGTGAAAAACATCGATTACATAGAAAAATATTATTTATCATTTCTTGAATATTTTGCAGGTAACATCGGGAAAAGCCAGTGTGCACTGCAGGTCGGGTACGGTGATGGCATGGACTTCTTCCACGGCGTCCTGGAAGAAGTATGTCGTTTACCTGTTCCTAATTATACATTTGTAATGATCTCGTCAGGTGTAAGATTTAATACATGATATTTAGGCTTTTATTTGCTTAGCCGAAACATAAATCGATGTTATTGGCGTGAGCTGACGTATTAGAATTAACGCTTCTCAACAGATCACTTAGATCGACCGAGTGTTATGGGAGAAAATACAAAGTGACACTATCTGATGAACCAAACAAACGAGGACGAACATTAATTAATAATAATACAGGCCATCTATAACGCGCCTTTTCCACAAATTGTACATGCTCAAAGCGCTAACACATTATTACCCCGGATAGCCAAGCTGCCTGTTAGGCGCTAGAAGGTTATTAGTCACATGACTTGTCCCACCGGGTACCCACTTTCTACTGGGTGAACAGAGGCAGTTTTGAGCGAACTCGCTTGCCTAAGGTGGGACCACATGATCCACATGTGCTTCGTTGTGGGGCAGGACACAAGTCCTAGAAACTCTCTCTTGAGTCAAGCTGCCAAACACAGTCACCTAGTCAAGGACTGTCCGAGCTCAACGTTGCTTTATTTTAACTGATTTGTGACCTGAGCTCTATGCACATGACCACACGCCAAGTAGTGCATCTTGCTTTTATGTTTCAGTTCAAAGTATACATCTGCGACCCAGAGAGCCTGTAGTTCAACAGAGTGTTTCATCAAGACCTACCATGAAGTCAAAATGCCGTTTTTAATATCAGCTCGCAGTATTAAACAGTATGGCGCATTGTTTTGTTTCTGTCATATGTGGTATGAATATAGCTTGAAGAACCCATTGTAGCTTAACGAGATACATACAACGTTATGTTCTTTAAGAGTATAATTATACTTATTTTAAAAACAAAAATTCGCTTTCCGTTTCAAGTTAGCCCGAGCAGTATGTTTTCGATAGGACAAGACACTGTGGGACAAGACACTGTAGCTCGCCCTGAACTGAAAGTTCAAGAGAGCATGACAGTCTGAATGTATGTTGTATACCAGTCTTTTGAAATCCCCTCAAACACCAATGTGTAGATCTTTAATGAGTTGAATTTCCGGTTGTCTCGAAGTAAAATTTTGATCTCTGCTTAATCCTTCTTTAGTCATAATTTACGGCTGTATCGAACGTCGTATAACTCGAAACATTTACAGGTGTACAGTCAATCGCCAATGTGTGGATCTTTAATGTGCCTGTCTCAAAATACAAGCTTTGCCCCTGCTTGTTTAATGTTTTAGTTATCATTTTGCAGTTTTGTCGAAGCTCTGATAACTCGAAGCAATCTTCGACACAATGGTGTTTGACTGTATTTGCACCATGCATGACTGTACACATTTAAATTTGCTTAAGAAAGGACATATGTGTTGCTGAAGGGTTTCGAGAATATTGCGGTAATTTAACTTCCGTGAAGAGTCAGCTTCAATGTTATATATGATGAACTTCCCATCAATATAATCACACTCAATTATAGTAATAATCATGACATACGGTTGACTCATTGTTGTTTTCAAATTAGATGAAACAGAATTTCGATAAAACTGCATTTTTTATCACTGACGATAAGTCATTGAATTCACTGAAAAAAAGAAACACAAAAGGTGATTTATATAACTGCTACTGATGTCAACTGCCTAGTGACAGCTGCTCTGAGCCTTAAACATGTTTACGTAAAATAAAATGCTTTTTTAAGTTATGAATGAATAAAATCTTTACGCACGTGTTCGTTTTTTTATCACTTTAATTTTTATTCATTTGTAATTCTTGAAAGTAGGAAGAGTCTATTTCCTCAGTTTACTTTTAGATGCCTACATGTTTGTTGGTGAGGCCGTTTTTCGTTCTTTTGCATAACCACCGTCAGCATATGTTTTTAAATTCAAGATTTGTAGTTTTACTCATATTTTAAAAATGTGGGCCCACTCACAAAAGTATCTACAGAGAAAAAGATGTGGGCCCACATTTCTGTTTCACTTTGATATCTACAGTTTGGTTGCTGATATCGTATGTAGAAAACGCTTTATATGCTTTTAAGAGGATAATGAAATTGCCCACCTTTCCTGTCGCAAATATTGGTTACTTCAACATCTGATGATGCTCTTGGATTCAGTAATATTCGACTAGAGTAGGCCCACATCCGACACCCTCTAACAACCAGCTAGTAAGTGACAAACAATCGTAAAGCAAATTGCTGCTAGTCATATAGATGGAATGACTCGCTAGATTATATAGTTTTAGTGATGATTTGACTAATGGAGGACGCAGTTTATCGTTTTCTCAGCGTCATGCTTTTCTGGATACGAAACTAATCAGCATACCTCCAGTCTGTATCTTGGGTTAGCTCCCTTAGCAACTCGAACCACTGATAATGCGGATTCGCCCATATTATGTGTGCCTTGTTGTAGCTCACCTGACCGGTTCTGGAATACCATACTGTCTAAACATCCAAACCATTGCACGCGGATCATATTCTCCGAAAACCCGAAAATTGCACGTGGATCATACTCGGCGAACACCAGAAACATTGCACGTGGCCCATACTCTCCGAAACACTAAACAGTGCATGTGGATCGTACTCTCCAAACACCTGAAATATTGCACGTGGATCTCACTCTCCAAACACCTGAAATATTGCACGCACGTGGATCTCACTCTCCAAACCCGAAACACTGAAACACTGCACACTGTGGATCTCACTCAAACATCTGAAACATTGCACCAAACTCTCCGAAACACTGCATTGCGTGGCTCATACTCTCCGAAACACTGCACGTGGATCATACTCTCGAAACCCGAAACTGCACGTGGATCATAATCTCCGAAACCCGAAACACTGCACGTGGATCATACACTCCAAACATCTGAAACATCGCACGTGGATCATACTCTCCGAACGCCTTAAACAATGCACGTGGATCATACTCTACAAACACCTGAAACATCGCAAGTGGATCATGCTCCCCGAACACCTGAAACACTGCACGTGGATCTCACTCTCCAAAAACCCGAAACACTGCACGTGGCTCATACTCTCCGAAACACGAAACAGTGCATGAGGATCTTACTCTCCAAACATCTGAAACATCGCACGTGGCTCATACTCTCCTAAACCCGAAACACTGCACGTGGATCATACACTCCAAACATCTGAAACATCGCACGTGGATCATACTCTCCGAACGCCTTAAACAATGCACGTGGATCATACTCTACAAACACCTGAAACATCGCAAGTGGATCATGCTCCCCGTACACCTGAAACAATGCACGTGGATCCACAAAAACCCGAAACACTGCACGTGGCTCAAACTCTCCGAAACAGTGCTGAAATCTTACTCTCCAAATATCTGAAACATTGAACTTGGTTCAGACTCTCCAAACACCCGAAACACTGCACGTGTCTCAAACTCTCCGAAACCCGAAACAAAACACGTGCATCACACACTCCAAACACCGGAAATATTGCACGTGGCTCATATTATCCGAAAACCCGAAAATTGCACGTGGATCATACTCGGCGAAAACCTGAAACATTGCACGTGGACCCTACTCTACAGTAACCTAAAACGAGGATCGTACTATCCAAAAGAAACACCTTAGTGTGTGTGTGCGCACGCGCGCGTGTGTGTGTGGTTGGTTACACTGTGTTATCATTGTATATCCCCTGGCGTGCTTTCTTCCGTGTGAAGTTTAAAGTGTCTGTAGTAATGCACTTACAGGCACTGACAACATTGTATTGGTGTGTGGCAAACCTCAACAGTTTCGCGCAGACAAACATACAACACCAGGGGGAGGATAAGGGTTGAGTCTGTAGTATTAAGATACGGGGGTATGTGTAAATTTGTGACAAACAAGACCATTAGAGTTATTGATTGACAGAAAATAGACTTGCATGTATTGAGTGTTTGAGCAAGACATGTCGCTACATGGTTGTGTGATACCTGCAGGTGTCGGGGGAGACGTTACCTTGACTGTAAGTATTATTGTTACTATTAGTTCAGTGCAGCAGAGGCGGGCCATACAGTAACTCCTTTGATGGAAAGGTCGTACACTTATCAATCTGAGTGAAGTCAGTTTGTGAATAACACTGTTATAAAGACAATCATGAGGTACTTGAGAGATATACAAATGACTCATCAACATGATCAGTTACAAAGAGATTTTTATAAATCTGAATGAGAAATTGGTCGTATATGGTTTTACACATACATTTCAATGAATCAAATATATTTACGCACTTCAGTTGATGACTGTTTATAACATTCACGAAATCAAAAGACCCAAACACAATGTATCTCTTCATTATGTCGGCTTTCATAATGTTAGTCAGTATCCCGGTATCAGGGGTTTTCGACGATGTAGGACAAAAACGTAATTTTTATCTGTAATATCATTAATTTTACTAACTTCGGGTGATAAAGGATATATTCATCTATTTCACACAAAAATATCAAGTGTTTCCTACAAAAATAATGTTGATGATATCGTATCGGCGAAACTGTTGCCGTTCGCCACATCTGTGGATTTTGTATGGGTTTTCGACGATAAGCCATACTTTTCGCTCCGCACTGCGAGGTAGTGTTGTGATAACGTGGCTTTCTATTTAAATATTGCCTGTCACCAGCAGACGAATGATCTTACTGAATTTTCGCTTGCTATGTTTTGTTATAAAGGGAACTGATTTTGCATCTGAAGTGGTATCAACGATCTCGGGTAAATAATATTGATGTTTGTTTGCTTTTTAAATAACTTAACTTCCGGTTTTCAATTGTCAATACAACTTCTCACGACGGTGACTGCCGATGAAACTACTTGTGCTCACCGATCGCGCACGTACTCCCCCGATATAGCGCCAGCAACGCTTTGGGATACAACATTCCAGATTACAAATGTTGTTCCCAGGTATGAGATCTGCAGCATATGGGGAGATTATTCTTGTCATACTGGCGAGCATGTATTGCGTGTGGGTGAGCTGTGAAGTGCACAAGGTATTATCTGAT